TAACACACACTTTTGTTTTTAATGTGATTTTGACAATATAATGAGATATTAGTGTATAGACTTAAAATTTACTTTATACAACTATTGTTTAGTCTATAAATTCATTTGAAAAGATTTATATCCTTGTTTATCTCATTCGTCCAAAACTAAGAATATTATACACTCGTTTTACATGCTTTTACAAAACTAAGAGATTTTACAAACGGAGAATCACATTTGGAAAATTTCTTTTGAAACATGCTCATTTATATGTTTATAAACTATTCCCCAAATTTTACAATTTTTGGAATTTATTTGATATTTTTAAACATGGTTTAAAGTTTAGTTTTCCTGTGCAAATCTGGTCTGTGCATGTTTAGTCGACTCATAAGTCGACCCACGAAGTGCAGCGGAGTTGTAATTTTTCGTCTGTTGAGTCGACTCATATAAGCTGACTCATTAGTCGACTCATAATTCGACTCATGAGTCGACTCATAAGTCGACTTATTAGAGAGCCGTTGTATAGTAACGACTAGTTTTCTGTTTTGTGTGTTTGTGGCTTTTTGGTCTTTTTCTTTGGGTTTTAGCTGATATATTAAGATGCTATATATACCCATATGCTCTGAATTCTTCTTTCAACCAAGAAGATTCCTTAATCAAGTTTTAAAAGAGTTTAGTTTATGTTTAAGAGGTGTTTAAGCCTTGTTTCAAGTTTGGTTTGAAAAAGAGTTTGTTTTACAAAGAGAAGCTTACATCATTTGTTGAGGAGTTCATCCTCAATATCCAATCATCCTCTCTTTGTAGAGAAGTTTTCCTAACTCAACTCTCTAGAATTTATTTCTTATTAATCTTATTGCTAGTTCTTATTGAGTTAGAATTTATTTAAACTCATTTATCACGCACCCTTATTGAGCTTGTTATATCTCATATAATATATTGTTGGGTAGTGGTGTGTGATTTAGTGAGAGTGGGCTTAATTGAGTTCTCGTCAAGTGTAGAGAACAACCGTTATTATATTATGCTTATCGTGAGATCACTTGTAATACACTTGTACACCGAGAGGAGTGCGTGGTGAGGACGGAGTCGATACCGAGAGGAGTGGCGTCGGTGGCCTAGTGAGAGGTGATAATTCCGAGCACTTGAGGGAGTCGATACGTGAGGACCAACACTTGAGGTTGTAGCTTGTGTATGTACATTGTGAGATTTTGTGAGAGTTGTCGGTTGACTTGATAACCGAGTGTGTAGAAAAGTTTCGGCTTCCAAACCGGGTGTGTCGTGATAGTGAAGATCTCCTCAAGGTGAGGAGCGGAGACATAGGTCGTGGGGACCGAACTCCGTGATCATATCTTGTGTTTGAGTTTGCCTTGTGTACTTTTATCTTGTCTTGTGTTTGAGTTTGCCTTGTGTACTTTTATCTTGTGCTTGTATTTTACATTCTGGCTTATATATCTCTTGCAAGATTTAAATAATCAATAAAGTTTACATTCTGGCTTATATATCTCTTGCAAGATTTAAATAATCAATAAAGTTTTTAAATTGGCATAAAATCGAATTAGATTAGCATAAGACGCTAATCACCCCCCTCTAGGGTCTAACACCAAAAACGTTTACACCACACAATATCGGTTTTCAACGCTCACTGGTCAACGTTCACAATCTCATAATGTAACTACACTAACTACCACCTCAAGTGTTGGTCTCTAGCTCGTGTCCCCCCTCAAGTGTTAGGAATTATAACCTCTCTCTAGGCATTACCACCTACCCCATTCCTCTTGGGACGACCTCGTCTCTCACCACACACTCCTCTTGGTGTACTAGTGTAATACAAAGTGAATCCTCACAAATAAGCTCTCTACAACAAATGGTTGTTCTCTAAACAAGGTGAGAACTCAATTAAGCACAACTTAAAGTTACAATCTCTCACAACCCTAATTATACTATGTATGAAAACACTAGAAGCTTAAGTGGGTGTGTGTAACAATGAGATTTAATAAAACAAACTAAACTCAAATAAACCTAGCTTTAAGGAAATGAAAAACAAACAAATAAATAGCTAGATAAGAGTTTAGACAAACTTCTCTATATGATAACAAGAGAGAGAGAGAGAGAGAGAAGAGTAAATGCTCAAACACCAAAGGATGATCTCCTCTTTTCTCTTATGAAAATTGTTTCACAAACCAAACTCTTAAACAAACACTAAAACAAACTTAAACACTCTTAAACTTGTTTAAACAATTCTCTTGGTTAATTTTTGGTCTGAGGTAAGAGAGGTATTTATAGAGACCCCAAAACATAAGAAAAAAAAGCAAAAAGACAAAAAATCCAAAACTGGAACAGGCTGGAAAAAACTAGCCGTTACAACATCAGTCGACTGATGAGCTGACCGTTAGAGGCGTTTTTTAGCTCATCAGTCGACTGACGGACCTTATCAGTCGACTGATGACCTCATCAGTTGACTGGTCAGTCGACCAAAACAAAACAGAAACTTTTTGTTATTCCAGCCACTTTCTTCAATCGACTGAACACATTCATCAGTCGACTGATAACACTGTATCAGCTTGATTTGAATAGTAAAACTGATTTTTAAAGTGCCTTTAAAAATAGCAAATAAATTCTAAAAAATATAAAACTTTGGGAAATGATTATAAACATGTTAATGAACATGTTACAAAAAGAATTTTTGGAATTACACTTCACATTTGTGAAAACTCATCATTTTTCAAAAACTAAGTCCAAACATGAAAATACAACAACACTTGTTTTGTCATTTGACTAAACCATGTTTTGAAAACTTTATAAACTTGATAAAAGATACAAACTATTATTGTTAAGTCTATAAACCAAAAACTTCAATATTATGCAAAAATGAAGTTTTGCACAATATGCATTTGACAAAATGATAAATATAAAACATGTGTGTATTATATATATATATATATATATATATATATATATATTATAATATATATATATATATATATTATATATATATATTATATATTATATATATATATATATATATATATATATAATATTATATTATATATATAGCGTTTCATATTTATATAAACTTGTAAACTATAAAACCAAAACATGTATATATATAATACTATATATATAATATATATATATATATATATATATTATATATATATATATATATATATATATATATATATATTATATACTATATATATATATATATATATATATATATATATATATATATATATATATATATATACACCAAAATTTGTGTGTATATGTGATTGAACTTAAAGTACTACCACACATAATATAAAAACCTAAACTAAATATACCCAAGCTTGTGATCTTCAAGGAAGCTTTATCTTGATACACTTGCAGATGAAGCTTGAACTTGGATCTTCAACTTGAATTACATTGCTTCATTCTAATATTCTGCCAACCTTCATTAGATATGATCGTGAATGTTCGATTTCATCCATCCTCCAACTTATTGTTTGCTTAGAATAAATACAAAATACAAACACTAGACAAACAACATTAGAAGTAAATTATTTGTAAATCATCATCAAAATAAAAGGACCCAACAAAGCCACTAACTAATTGAATGACTAAAAATAGAACGATATGAAAAAGGAACTAGCTTTTTTCCTCTGTAAGTAGTTAAGTACAAAGGAGGTTATTAAACATTTACCCATTTTGTCTGATTAATGCACATTCTTTTTTTGCTCTAATGATACAAATCCATCTTTTTTTTGCAAATTTATCTTCATCCATCTTCTTCGCATCTAAGCTCAAGATTCAATCATAGAATCATGGGCATTTATCATCTGCTCCAGCGATCGAGAGTAGATTACTGAAACATTATATTCAAACAAGAGCATGTATTGGATCTGCATGTGAAATTGGAATTGACAATTGGGTGGTAAACAGTGTAATTGAATGCCATTGCCAGGGCTTGAAGTAGGCAAAATTGCGGATAAATGTGTAACAATTAAGTATGTATGTAATTAGAGAAGTCCTTTATGATGGTGCTAGTTTCTAATATTACAATTATATGGTGATTTTTATGAATTTGACATGAGTTAGTTGCTGTATTGTAGTCGGAATTACTTTTTAGTTTTTCTGCATTCATATGTTTCTAGCAGACAAAGTGCACCTTTTCATGCTTGAATGTTCAATAAATGCATGTGGATTTGTAAATTTAGTTGCTGTTTTAATAACATCTGTAAAAGCATGATATTTTCTCGATAACTTTTTTAGTCAAATAGATAATAAAATTCTATATGCTGTTGGAACTTTAAATTGTAAGAAAGAAAATCAATAAAAATATTTTTCTATGGAAAGATTGAAATGCACTTGAGGCGGCAGCATGTCTCCTATATTTCTTACGAGCAAATAGTAACAATTAGGTTCGGCTTTGAGGTTCTATAATATTTAGTATTCATTATTTCTTTGTCAACAAGTCATGATTTTTTAGATAAAAAAATTAAAAACTTTTGTAACTCATTTTTAAGTATCAACTAAATAATGTTAATTATGGTCGAGTTAAATTTTGCAACTTACTACAATTGGGAAGGATACATAGAGGGGGGTGTTGTGGAAATTTAACAAGTACTAGACGGACTAATCTACATGAGATTACTTGTCGATTATTGAGTTATTAGATTGAATAAGATACATACCCATCAATAATAAATGATTTTTTTTCTAATATTTACATCTTGATCAAATAAACAAATCTAAATCTGAAATCCTTCCATAATTTTACGGCTGAACTTGATAAAATATGGAAAGTTTCAATAAAAATGCTTTTTTGCAACCCCTCACAAAGTTCAGAGGGTGATTTTGTAAATTTTAGACGGTTTTACAAAACTTCCTCCTGACATTTCTAATTTTCGTCGAGCACTCTAAACCTTAAAAAATTTCACAAAATCCTTGAACTTTGGACCCGACCCGTACCTCTCGGAATACATCTCCATACCCATTACCCGACCCGTTCACTAGGTATAAATTCACTCATTCTCTCAAGACACCCAAACCCTAGCTCTCTCGCCTGCTGGTACCAACTCCAACTCCAATCTCGGTCGCCGCCTACCAGTCTCCAATATCGGTCACGGGCTTCCAAATCCCCAACTCCAGTCTTGCCTGTCTTGATCGCGGGCAGTTAAGGTAGTTTTTAGCCTTTGAAACTTCATAATTTGATAAAAACCAAACCGACCGAACGTTTGCACACCCCTACTCACCATCGCAAAATCCCGGTACTTTTTTTCAAACCATAGATCTCTTCACCCATCGAGCCACTGTGGATCCATGGCGAAAGCAACCGATCAATCGCAGATGGATGTCGACGAGAAAGTCAACCCTAGGTTCTCAATCAACGGTACTGCTCCTCATTTCTCTCAATTTCTCTTGACTTTTCTCGATTTCGATCGTAATTTGTTCCAGTCGATCTGAAATTTGTCGTCTTTTGCAGTGTTGCAGCTCCTCAAATCCGCTCAGATGCAGCATGGGTTGAGACATCGCGACTACACTCGATATCGGTATGTAATTTATTTATTTATTAATTCTTTATTTTAGACGTAGAAATCTTTGATGATTCTTTAGGCAGTTGAAGGTTATGATGTTAGATTTTGTACTTTTGAATTGGTTGGTCAGGGTTAGACCGGGGACAGGTTTTATAACTAGTTTCGTGACAGTCCAATTTTGTTTTGTGAAATTCGTTTCCCGTGTTGTATGGCTGGAAGCGAATCCTGATGGATCGGGTATTGAGGTATTCATTTACAATATTCGGCCTTGAAAATGTTAAACTTTGTGAATATAGAATTATTTGTTTAAGAAGATAATTTGTTTAATAACATGAATTATGAAGTTTATGGGGTAAACGAATATGAACCCGTTTAGTGTTCATAGTCAATTGTTTAAATATATGAATACTAAAAGTTATTTGATCTCACTTAAATGATCTTCCGAATCGAATTTTGACAAATAGCTAGACAAATAAATGCCAAACTATTTGATAGTTATTTGATCTCAGCCCCTATTGATATCAGTAAGATATGTACAGACACCCAATGAACCTCATTTTGCACAACATACACAATGAAAAGTTTCCATACTTGAAAAAATAAGTGACAAAACTTAGTTGATGCCCCTTACGTGCATCTGGGCAAGGAGTTCTTACTCAGCAGCAACTGTGGACTCATGAACGAAAGAGTTTTTATCTCTTACAAATCCAAGGTTCTCATTATATAATGAAATTGACATGCACATTAGACATCCTGTATTTAATCAACTTTAAATTTGGAACTTTGAACATTAGGAGTTGGTTAATATGTTGATATAGCCAATACACGGATGATATGCGAGTTATCCTTTTTGGCTATCTGTTTGTTTTATATTTAATTTAAACCTGGCCAAAGATGGCTGATATTTGGTTTAGTAGGATGAAAGTTTTAAGCTGTACCAATCAACTTTATGTTTTAAATATCATAAAATTGGGTTCACATGTTGGTACAACCATTATGCATAAGATTTGTGAAGTTTACTCTTTCTGGTTATCTATTTGCTTGAAATTCATTCCAAATATGGCTTGAGCTGACCGAGTCTTGTTTGATGAAAGGATGGGTTTTGATTCATTATTTTAGATCCAAATTCAAGGGTTTTGATTTTAACTGAAATGCGCAATACCAATAGAACTAAAATTTCTTTTGTTTAAGATTTGTTTGCCTGTGAGTTTTATTGTTTGTTAAGAGGACTTTGAGATAAAATTAGGCTGCAAAGGGTCAGATACTCTTGGAATTTATTGATGATAAACGCAACATTCTATTTTGGCTCTTCTCCGCTTCTCTTTTGTTGGGTTCTTGTTCAACTGGCTGAAACGATTTGCTGAATCTCAAATAATTATCAAATTTGTAGCCCTCTCTGCCCTCAATCATTGTTAGGAAGCTTAATAAGGCACATTTTGGACTTAAGTCCTGCAAGGGATGTCCGATCTTGTCGCTGCACAAGTAACTGCTGTTGTCGCCTTGTCTGCCGTTCTCTTATCCGCCCACTTGGATCTGGAACCTACATGCTGATGCTCACGATTTCGATAGCCATACCAGCGATTTGGAGGAGATCATAGATCACTCTATTAATTGGTCAATTCTCTTTCTTTGACCTCCCATCGTTCACGACATCCCTTGCGTCCCCTGCGAACGACTCCTCGGTGGAGGAGTAGAAGCGCTGGTCGGTCCCCTTCGCTCAAGTGCTTGTGCCTGCATTTCGACAAAAGACCATACCCAAGTTCAATAGCTTCGCGTCCGCTATCCCAATCATGATTTTTTGACCCTGTTCCTCGGATACCATTCAATCCTTCTACGGCCAAATCTCAATTTGTGGAAAGCCTTCGATGGCTTCCATTTTCTTTTGTCATGTTGCATAATTTGATCTACATCACATTTAATTTGTTATTTCTGAAAACCTAGCTTATGTTTTGATTGGCATTTACATAACCTAAATATTCTATGGAGGACATGCATAGTGCCCTGTTCAATCAGGATCTTTTTGATACTAACAGTACTTCAGTTCATGAACTCCAGTTTATATTTACTTTTGCCTTTTAGTTATTTGTCTGCCTCCCACGTCAATGTCCTTATAAGAAGTTATCTTAATTATTTTTCTGCCTCCTACTAGTCTTAATTGTGTTTGCCTTCATAAAGTCCTTATCATTTTTTTCCTCAGGAGATATTGCACGGCACGATTAAGAAGGCTGTACAAGTCATTGAAGTTCACACATGGTCATGGCAAATTTACTCGGAAGGTCATAACAGAGTCAACAGTTACAGATGTAAGGTACAGATTTCTCACCTATCTGTAGCAGATCTTGTCTGAGAATAAGTGATAATAATATTTTTTCCTTTTTCTTTATCCACTATATTCTTGTAAAATTACTTACTATTTTATGTCATTGATTTCCTGTTAGATTTTTAGTTCTTCCATCTAGTATGTTTAACAGTATGTAGTAGGATCAGGACATATTGATGATATTCAACTTTTATTTAACATTTTCTTTCCAATTATAACTCTTGAGTTGTAAGCTATTACTTGTGGACTTGGAAGCTAGCAATCTTTTGGGTGTTCTAGATGGAGACACATGAATTAGACTGAGGCTGGGGAATGATCTGCCAGATACTCAGATATCCTTGTTGGAGGGGACATTCTTTCCTTCCAGGAGGGAAACATGCATGTTAAAAAATGGGGCTGCTTCTCCTTGACATCCATTCTAAGGTAGTCCCATAACTAGGGAAGCCTCCTTAGCATTTCAGTTTTAAGTTTGCTAAATGCTACCTCTGCTGGTAGTAACTAACTGGTTAGTTAATTTGTTACTGTGTAATTGTATTAGCTGATTTGTACCTGTGGTGATTCATGTGTTGTAGTTTCTTCGTGCTTGTACTCCTCTGGTAAAAAGTGTAAAAATATATACCTCTACCTGAGCAGCAACTTTGGCATTTTTGTACTTTGACAGAGATTTAAGATGGTATCAGCTTATCAATGCCACCAGTCTTTTATCCTGTCAGGCATGTAAGTAAGCATAAAATAAGGAAATAGCACTTCAAAAAAATTCCAGGTTTTTCTGACGAAAATGACCAACCTATGAGAAAATTTGAATCTAAACATATATCGCTCAGCGTCGCTACAACTTTCAAGTTCTTGTGTAGTGAAAGTGTGTTTAAGTTATTCAGGTGAGAGCTAGTTGAATGCAGTTGGGATTTGGCTAATTGCAGAACCTATTTGCTAAATTCATGCTTTGTGGCACATATTCATAACTAGATAACAAAGATACTGGGAAAATTTTATGATGGTTTATTATTGATTTTCAAGACAGGTTTCTCCACATAGTGCTTTATATGGCAGAGAGGGCTTGGAGCCATGCCATGGAGAAAAGGCAATTGCCAGATGGACCAAATGCCCGCCAACGAATTTACTTGCTTGGTAGGCTGCGGAAGGCAGTAAAATGGGCTACACTATTTTCTGAGCTGTGCGCTGCCAAAGGAGATTCTAGAACATCTTTAGAAGCAGAGGTCTGTTTTCCGATAATCCATTATCAGACAACAGTTTTGTTCCTCAGGCACTAGAGTTCGGTGTCCAATTTTTGTATTTCTTATCAGTTCACATGTTTTCTCCTTGTGTTGGTTCTCTGACCTCATTTTGGACTGTTATGTGTTTTATTTAAAATGATCAGCGTGCATACATATTTGTTATTCAGTTAGAACCGATTGACAAATATTAGTACATCATGATATAAGTATTAAGAAGCTACTATCTTCTTATTGCGTGTTTCCCCAATTTAATTTAAGTAATGTTTATGATTTTTTTGCATGTTAGTTTAGCTGATAGGTGAAATCTGGATTAAAAAATTGAAACTGTATGTGGCCTGTAACCACTTGTCATTGCATTTTAAATTATAGCTCACCTCTCTGCTTCTGGAGCCTATTTACTGCTTCCCCCCAACAAAACACAAAAAAAGAAAAAAAACCGGCCAAAAAAAGTATACTGTATCTGTGAAGGCTAAGAATTAGCGTCACAATGGAAAGGGATTGAATCAAGTTAAACCTTTCGACAGCAACAAAAAGGTTTTCCTCTGTTTGAATCCTTCTCTATTCTGTTATGGCAAGGGTCATCTGCTTATTAAGTAACCATTATACTTTCTTTTTTAATTGCCTCCGTTAACTTGCGTAGGCCTTTCTATAGTCCTAGGACACCTAATTTCTCCATTAATTATAATTTTCCACTTATCCTAACTCTTTCACCTATTGTCCTCCGCTGCATATGTCCAACCATTCCCAATTTGTTCTCCCTCATTTTATCCTACTTGGCGGGAATATTTCTTATTCTTCTAAACTCAGCTTTTGGACATAGTGCCTCTTAATTCTTCAAATTTCCGGTACATGAAGTTTTCATGCTTTCTTGTGGTATTTTCTTCAATTTCATGTGTATTTGATCGTGTAGAACTCCTGCCACATTTTCCTCAATCTCATCATCTCTGATGATGATAGATCTTATGTAGGCAAAATGATCACTAGATATGTTTCTTTGTTACCAGTCTGTACTAGCCAAGCATTCCTTCAACAGTTCTGCCAAAATTACAGTCCATAGATCATGCTTTCTTTCTGATTTCAAGTTCTTTAGCTTCAACTATTCAAGAGCTTCTCCCTGATTTTTCTGCAAAATTGTTCTCTAAATCTCATCAGTGAACACTATGTCATAACAAACAACATTGAGCATATAGATATTTCATCTTGTATATGCTTAGCGAGTTCATGTACAACTAATACAAAGAGATAAGACTTAAGGCAGTCGTTGATGCAAGCCTAAGGTGATAGGAAAGCCTCCATCTCTCTTTCATTTGTTCTCTCCCTAGTATTAAACAATTGCTGCTTTAGTGTAATCTATATTCAGCAATTTGAACAATTTTTTGCAACCGATTTTACATTTCTGATTGTAATTTTTGGGTCACTGATTTAAAACTTGAAGTCTTACTTTAGCCATTAAATGCTAGCAGTTATGATGATTTAACATGAACGAACACTTCACTTGCAGGCATATGTATCTTATATGAAAGGTACTCTATTATTTGAACAAGATCAAAACTGGAAGGCTGCATTAATGAATTTCAAAAAAGCCAGGTTCATACTGATTCTGCTTAAACCAATTTGTGCATATTCTTGTCCCTAATTTCTTTTGTATTCCAGATAAGTTGATCTAGCATTTTCTCAGTATGAAATTACTTATTCTGGTGGATAGCGTACCAACTCCTACAGTACATTTTCTTGGAACTGTTCTATTTGATAGCTAAATCTTGGACTTTTAATAGGGATGTATACGAAGAACTTGGGAAGTATGGAAATGTAGAAAATCAAGTTTTATGCCATGCACGTGTCGAAGAGCTGGAACCAAGCATTAGATATTGTTTGCACAAAGTTGGTGAATCAAGCTTACAGACTTCTGAGCTTTTAGATATGGGAGAGATGGAGGGACCAGCTTTAGATCTTTTCAAAGCTAAACTAGAGGTGAGTTTATTTATTTGATGCAATAAGTAATCAGTTAAAATTTTAGTGTCATTACTGTTGTGTGCATAGAACATGCACTCTTGGGTTATAGTCAAATTTTAGTGAGGAGCTTTTTGTACTTTTGAGCGTAATAGCTTCATAATGTATGAGTATGCCTCTTCTACAATCTATTTTATGAGTTTTTAAAATTTACTTGTTTCCCTATAAATAAATATTTTATTCAATTATTTTCTTTTCTTTTATTTGTTCTTTTTAAAATGATAACTTGATGCAAAGTGTCGTTCTAAAACACCTCTTGAGTGCTACAAATGAATGAAAGAAAGCAAAAATTAGATTTGTTGGCTGTTTGAGTGCAATCTTCTTTGAGTACATTATTCTCCCAACTCATCATCCTTCCATTAATGTAAGATGAATTATTTTTTCATCATGATACATGCTTAAATTTAGTTATGCACTCATGGGTGGATCTAAAACCACTCTTGACCAACAGGATAGCTGGGGGTGATAACCAACATGGCAAGATAGGAGGTCCATTCTTCTGTCTTTAGGGATGGTTTTGGAAATCTGTTGCTAAGATGTTTTTTTATTTTATGTTAATTTTATCTTAGGTGACATGTTTGGTGTTAAACTTAGGTGACATGTTTGGTGCTATCGGTTACACTTATCTCATTCTTATGTTCACCATGGCAATCTAAAAACACGTAATATATTCATTCTATTTATATCAAGATGCTCATATTGCATTACTTTGTGTCAAAAACATGTACATTAATGTACTACATATTGCTCTCTGTGGGTTTTGTTCCAATGAGAAATGTTACCCTGAGAACTGAATATTCTTCATTTGATTTTATATCCAGGTTGTTATGGCCGAGGCAAGATCTCAACAAGCAGCGTCTATAACAGAGTTTTCCTGGCTTGGCCATAGATTTCCCATCAGCAATGCCAAGACACGAGTTTCCATTTTGAAAGGTTTGGTTATGTTTCTACTTGCTCTATCTCGCTCTCACTGCAATTTATGATTTCATTTTTATGTTTTTTCATGAATGGCTAATTATATGGCATCTATTTTTACTTCCATTGTATATTGATTTGGTTGCTTTTATCTTACTATTTTCTTTTCAGCTCAGGAGCTAGAGAAAGATCTACAACTGTTCATCACAGAAAATCAGTTCCTGCTGAGAAGAAAACTTGCCATATTTGAGAAAATATTTTCTGCATATCAGGATGCAAGAAGCTGCATTCGCAATGATTTGGTAAGCGACTGTCCAACCACATATTAAATAATAGATGCATTGATATTTTCATAAAGACACCTGTCAACATGTGTGTTCTTTGTCCAATGGGTCGTTTCTTTTCAGTTTCTGTTTACACGTGTATCGTAGACTGTGTGTTGGTTTAGATGAATGTGCATTGCTATTTGCTAATAACATTATTTAATTTAGGCTGCTGCAAGCAATGACGAGAATGTGAAAGATGAATTGAATGGCCTCGATAAGGCAGTCAGTGCTGTATTGGGACAGCGAACAATAGAGCGTGATCAATTGCGTGTGATAGTTGCTAAAAGTAAGTTCTCAAAGCAGCGGGATGATAAGGGTGAGAAGATCATGAAGCCTGAAGAACTTGTTCATTTATATGATCTCCTTATACAGGTATGCTATTAATCACCACTTCACCAGTAATATACCATCTCATGTTTTATTTGTTATACGGTACTATCTAATATTTTTCATATATTTTCATCTTGTAGTTTTAGTGATTAAGCTGAATGTGTAAGTCTGCTACTTGCAGAATTCAACGGATTTATCTGATTTAGTTAGTTCTGGAAGGGATAGGAATCCAGAAGAAGTTAGCTTCGCAGAAGAATGTTTACTTAAATGTTTAGTGTTTCGAGCAGAGAGGTTTGTCATGTTCTTCTCTAGCAATCTGACTCCTTGGATATTTAGTAGTTGATTCTTTTTATTTTCGCCTTACAATCTGACTCCTGAGAAATTTTAGTTGATGACTGATGATAACCTATTATGCCTAAATTTTTTTATGTATACCTTATTGTTATTCCTCATCATCAAGAGTGCTTAAAATTTCCTTTTGTTTATTGATTTTTGACTGAATTAGCTGAAACCTTTTGCAGGTGCTTCTATTTGGCAAAATCATACAGTACAGCTGGTAAAAGAACCGAAGCATATGCGTTATTTTGCCATGCTCGTTCTCTTGCAGACACTGCTATGCAGAAACTTCATAGGACAAAAAATCCAGACAAGGTGATAATTTGTGAAATTGCTACTATGTCTGATAATTACTGAATGCTGAACTAGATTGCTGCTATTGTTTTTCTGCTCAGTATATGATGTTATGATGAGTTTATACTTGCTACTTTAAAACAATGATACTGATATCTGAAAAGACTGGGAAAAGTGGAAGAAGGAACCAAAATCAGTTATTGAGCTACAGTCTACAAGGATTATTGCATGGTCCTTGTGGCACTGCGATTATTTTTTACTAGTTTTGGTCTATATATCTTCTGAAGACCCACCTTGTCTTGTAAGCCTGTAGCATTGTGTGGTGAAACTTATCACTAGAATTTTTGAGTCATATTTTTTTTACCTTAGCGATTAGTGGTGGAATTGTTCATTTAGAATCATCTATATTCAAGTGTTTTTCTGATTTATGATATCAACGTAGATACCTGTTTTTTGTGATTTATTTATAGAACCTGGTATATTCATTTAAAAAGTTGGTGTAAATCTCCTTTTTGTTGCATATTGGTAATATCAGATACGTGCAAGTTGGTTCTGAGAAACAACGAATATGAGACATTTTGTTCTTGTCAACAACAACAGCAAAACAACCCCCCCTCCCCCCCGCGCATTTTTGTCCTGCAGATCTTTTTGCACACTAGGTTAATGTTGTACTGGACGAGGTGGTTCAAAATTCCTACTTAGAAGGTGGTATTAAAAAAGGATACTCTATTCCTGAATTTGAAACACAGTAGCTCGTTAAGTTTGGAGCTTGATGGCTTCTTTGTCTGTATAAGGACTTTGTTCTTCAAAATGTTTGCTAATTTTACATGCCTGTTATGATCTCGTAAAAGGCATCAACAACACTAGAGTCTTTGGTATGGAGCATAAGATTTAACTTTAAATACAAATAGATTCTTGTAATCCCATAGAGAGACTGCTGGGATTAATTTTCAACTTTGCATTGGGAAATCTAGGAAGCTTACCTGTTGTTGGTGGGTAACATTTTACATCAGGATTTTTAACCTTCAAGTTCTTGCTAGATGTTGAGCTCTACTTTTAAGGAAGTTTTGTCAGAAGGTAAGATGTGCATTTTGTTTACGATATATTAACATTTAGGAGGACTGAGGTAGTCTTGTTTCTGAAAAAAAAAAAAAATTTATCATGAGACTGAGTGGCACATTGTTGCAATAGAAGACATAAAATTGATTGCAGCAAGGGTGAGAAGAATATGAGAGGTGGAGTCCTTCCCTTATTGTCAGGGGCCCCAGGATCAAGTCTTTACCTATATGTACTACTTTTTACTACTAGTTTCCGAGTAAAAGCTGTTACAACTTGTACAAAAAGAGAGCAAGTTATCGATAATTGCAATCTAGGTGCACATTTGGAATTCTCATGTTCTCGTGTAGAAAGCAATAGCATATGCTTTGCTTGTCCATTTGTACCAGAACACATGCTAATTTTCATTTTATTGCTCTGTGCTCATGTGACTGCATTTCATGTTGTGAACTAGCTCTTTGTTCCTGAAATATGTGTACTATAGAGATAATAGCTGCATCTTAACCAATTATCATACTGTCCCTTGAAATACTCCATGAGGCTAATATGAATTGGTTGCTATCTTTGTATCTCGCAGGCAATGATTGATGATCTCCAGGTGTTATCAGACAACTGCAGGGCAAGTAGAGAAGCTATCTAAAGGAGTCTCAACCATCTCATTAACAGGACAACAAAAGAAGGTATTTCATATTTGCAATATTCAGCATAGTCTTCGATGGCACAAAAGCAAGAGATTGTAAACACCTGGATATAGACAAATGGGTTAATTGCAAGTGCACACTTGTGTTGTGAGGGTTTTGCCACTTATAACCTTTGCTATATTTTAATAGCACCTACACACACTGTTCACTATGACCATGGTAATTTGTCACTATTTCATTAATTTCTCTAGGAATCATGTGAGATTGTCCTTGACAAATGTCTATCTCTAACCATCACCTGATTCTCTGAGGACTTTATGAACTAATGAAAGAAGTAACATTATCATTGTGAGCGGGTGTGTGTTTCTGACAAAACAAACACTAGGTGATAAATATCTACATCCCCATAGTACAGGGGATGTGTATGCAATTAACCCTGATACAATGTGTTTTTTTTCTTTTTTTGTTTGTATATCTAACCATTATTTGCAAAACTACCCCCAAATCGCAATATTTGCAAATGCATCCCCCAAATTATCAACTTTGGAAATAAGTAACCCCCCAATCAACAAATCATCAACTTTGTTGGATATGGTAAGTTTTGCAAATGCTAAGATTTGGGGGTAATTTTGCAAATACGCATGATTAAAGAGTACATACTCGCACAAAAAACCCTATAAATTCATGCATCTTTGCGTTATTGATGGTAACAATGCTGCTGCTCTATTATTGCAGGAAGAGAAATTCCTCATGGAAATGCTTGATGTCTATGAATCAGCGGTTGCGGCTCCTGGCTCAAAGGGTGCTCGTATTGAACGGTTTCCTCCACCATTCCAAGCTGTTCCCTGCAATCCAATTGTACTAGATATCGCCTACAGCTCCATTGAGTTCCCATCCCTTGAGAACAGGATTAAGAAGGACAAGAAGGGCATTTTCAGCAGGTTATGGGGTTGAGTTTAGATTTTATCCCGAGATTTTCTAATCGGTGACTTTCACTTTGCCCTCATGAAAATTGTTGTTCAGCAGAGTGATTTGACATCAGCAAAATTGAATTTGGTTCTAAATCTTTGTTATTTGACTGCAAGGATCAGAGTTCTTGAGGAAATGGTGTTTGTGTATATCTTGAGATGCTGAAATGTTAATTGTATTTTTTTACTTGAAATAGATAGCGCAATCGCGCTTTTACTTCCTATATTGTTGTATCTGTGTTGATAATTCTCAAGTATCATTTGATCTTTGTACTGTGTCTGCATCTTTGTGGCTCAGTTTATGACGTGATCATATGGGCGTCCAAGCTTCTGATTAAAAAAGGGGTGCTAAGATATCTAAACAAGGAAGCTGGTGATGGGAGCAAAAGTAATGATGTGTTTGCTTTTGACTACTAATTCTATTGCCATAATAAAAAAAGGGTAAACTAAAACTGTGAAAAAAAAAATCTAAATTCTAATGCAACTCTTTTCCTGTAGTTATCACAACTGGAAGAAATTACAAGTGATGCAAGCAAGAGGAACAAGGTGCTAGGGCGCTGATATTAGATGGCTTATAATTCGGTTCGTAAATGAAAACAAGGATAAACCATTAATTTCAAACTATTTTTATTTAGTTAGATTATGTTTAACTCTACTTCTAGCTATAAGAAGAGATATCGATGGGATAGTTATCATCAATAATCAATGAGAAGCAAAATACGTTAAATAAATGATTGCATTAAAAACTCAATTCATCTAATGAAAAGAGAGATAAAAAACAACCTTATTACTTTTTACCTACTCCTTTCTGCTTTTCAAAGCTCAATAAACCACAAAATTGGATTGATCAATAAATCACGAAAGAAAAAAAGTTCATGGAAAAATTGTATTTCCTTTGCAAAATGAACACATGAACTGAGAATGATTTTAGGTTTTTTTCTTGAATTTAAAGCTTTTAATTCCTGCGTATTTGGCAAACTACCCTGTCAAATCTCAGTATTTGCAAAACGAACCCTTAAACCGTACGGTCAACTTTGTTGGTATAGTGAGTAAAAATTTAACTATTTCGTTGATATTTTTTTTTACATCTCATTTCAAAATTAGCCTATCAAAGCTAATTCATTGATTTGTGGGATAAAGTTTCTCTCCAAACTCAATGATTTGATGTGTAGTTATGTAAATCTTGAGATTTAGAGGGTAGTTTTGCAATAACACATGATGTAAGGCGTATATTTACAAAAGACCCCAAAATTTAGTGTATCTTTGCGTTATTGCTATCAGGCGTATAAGATCAAGAGAGGCAAGAAGCAGGTTTTCAGAATGGGAGAGTTTGAATTTTGCGGAAGATTTTTGTATCAATAAATTCACTTGTCATGAAATTTGTTCATCAACAGCTCGAAATTTGGTCTGAATGTATGTCCTTTAAATGCAAGGATC